TAACACTAAAGATTTCATTGTGTAAGCCTCTTCTTTACTCAAGTTCCAACAATTCAAATTCAAATCTTTGCCTTTTAATTTCTTGGTAATGTTATTTGATCACTTTCTTTTAATAGACCCATGATTACCATAGGTATAACAATTTAGTGCCTTCTTGACAATAGTGCTATATCTAGTGTATGAGTAAGGAAAATCGATTTTAATGTACATGATGTTTTTCTCTGTTAAAAAGCCATAAGGTCTATGTTTTGGGAGTTTGACACATTTTGATAAATTATTTGCAATATCAAATCTACTCTCACTTTCTTAATTGAATTTATTAAATGTCTTAAGATAATAAGGTTTATATTATTCTGAATTTAATACGACTTAAAAAAAAATAGAACAAATAAGCCAAACTAGCATCAAAGTTACTGGAACTTCAAATATTAAACAAAATCCAGTCCCGGTTCGAAAATTCAAAATTTTAAGACACTAATCAGTAATCATATTTAAACTCATCATAATCATTTTTTTGTCTTTTTCTTTCATTTGAAATAGTAGCAATGAGTATAATCTCTCTTTTTGCAAACAAAAGAATGACAGCCACGAGTTCTCAGTTCTGCTAAACAAATTTGAACTGAATGCAAAACATATATCTAATAAACTATTGTAAAAACGAATTCAGAAGCAAAAAAATAGAATATATAGATTTCACATTTTTCACACGAATAAATTATGTTTAACATTTTAAAATAGAAAAATTTATCTAGAATAACCGAATAATCATATTAGTCGGATTTACGATGGTTTAGTGATTACAAACGTCAATATTATAAAAGGTTAACCACAATTCATAACACCGGTGTAAAAAGAAAATACCAAACTCGAAGAGAATCAAATTAGTTTCAAGTTGTTATATACTTCAAAAAGTGATGGATCCAAAAACTCGAAAAACTTGAAATGAGATTGGACCCTAATAAAAACTACCCATAGTGGAATGGTTCAACAGATTTGGACCCTTTCAAATCATCATTGTGTAGTCATTCACCTATGAGTCAACTATCGTATGTTACTTAGAGAATAGTACCAATTTATTTACAATTATATATGTGATGATAAGATAAGATTGTCCCTTGTTTCGTACTCCTCACTATTAAAACTCATTACTAATAAAATCACTTAAATGTTAAACCCCTTGAAAATTGACATTTCAGCATTTAAACCTCAACCCCCAATTAAACCAAACTAAACTATATACAACCGTTTATATCATTTCAAACCTCGACGCTTCAACCGATTCTGCCATTACAACAAAATCCTTCAACTAACCCAACCAACATAACTCACACATTTTTATGTATGCTACG